GCACAGCAGCTCTTTATTTTCATACGCTATAACAATCGGCAGTTGTTCTTCGTAAGACTTGCGTGCATTTAAAGGTGGCAACAACTTGCCATCCCAGTGGCAGTATCCGGTACCTCGCTTTGGAAATCAAGCTTTATAGCTTCTGGACGGCCCTTTCGCTTTTCGGGATGAATTCTTTGAACGAAGGACGTGCTTATAGGAAACTCGTCAGTGGCATGTCCAAGTGCCTCAATGGTTGCTTCAATAATGAAAACAGCATTTTTCATAAGTAACCGATACCTATCTAATGCTGCCACTCACTGATAAACACAGGATTTGTGACATGACAATTTTTGGGTGTTTCTTATGTATTTTGAGAGCCTTGAGTCAAATATAAAAACAGATTTTTTCTATCACCCACAAATATTCGGTAACATCTACTTTTATGAATTACAATACGTAACATCTCATCTTGCTGCATTTCTCGGCGTTCATGCGATGACGCACATATACAATGTTAAGGTCCTGTCTATTCCTGTTTATTATATGGGTGCTCTATGTTTAGAGAGCATATTGCGTGTATTAGTAGACTAATAGCAGCCGAGTCAGATACGTTTTCTGTGTTGAAGAGTACTGAGATGTTCTGAGTACTGAGAATTTTTGTTAAAACGGTGTGTTGTTTTTAGTTTATTGTGATCGAGACTAGCTTTATGGACAATGCCTAGAAAATGTGTAAATAGTGCGAACAGTTTTTGTTATGTGTGCGGAAAGCTAACTTTTACATCTCAAAAACGTACTTTTACTTCCCTCGTGTTGAAAGCATACGAACTTTATTTTGGAATTAAAGTTGGGGACCAAGATAAACTATGGGCCCCTCATATATGTTGTAAGACTTGTGTAAGGTTATTAAAAGGTTGGTTAAGAGGCGACAATCGTAAAATGCCCTTTACGGTACCAATGGTTTGGAAAGAATCGAGAGACCATACTACTGATTGATATTTGGCTCACAAGTATTAAAGGTATTGGACGAAAATCGAAACATACTGTTAAGTACTTTGATTTACTATCAGCTTTGCGGCCCATTAAGCATAGTGATGAACTTTCTGTCCCAGTTCCACCAGAATCTTGGTCTTTGGATGAAAACATCGATTCCACCGATTCTGAAAGTGATGGAACAGAGAGCGTAAACATTTCCGATCCTTCCTTTGACCTGCCAGGATGTTCAACAGCGCCGCATTTGATCACACAGGGCAAACTTAATGACTTAGTTCGAGAATTAAATCTGTCAAAATCCCAGTCAGATCTTTTAGCGTCAAGATTAAAAGGATGGAATCGTTTCCACGGTGATGTTAACATTACTTTTTACCGAAAACGGCGACAAGAACTCACACACTGTTTGCGTCAAGAAAGGGAGTTGATATATTGCTCCGATGTTAACAACTTGTTTGACGCGTTAGGATAGAAACATGATCCTTATGATTGGCGCCTGTTTAAGCTTAGTTTAAAAGCGGTATTGGTACACAACGGTAATGAATATCCATCTGTACCTATATAGCGCACGCATCATATGAAAATATGCGAGTTCTGTTAGAGCATATCCGGTATAATGAATACGGATGGGCCATATGTGCAGATTTAAATGTAATAGCCCTTCTTCTTGGAATGCCACTAGGATATACCAAATATTGTTGTTTTCTTTGTGAATGGGACAGTCGTGCGCGAGATCGTCATTACGAACAGAAGGAGTGGCCGCTACGTCAGGTATTAACTCCGGGCCTTAAAAACATTGCTCATGAACCACTAGTTGATCCCAAAAACGTGTTGCTTCCACCTTTGCATATTAAGTTGGGACTGATGAAAAATTTTGTGAAAGCTATGGATCGAAATAGAAGAGGGTGTCTGCATTTAAAACAATCATTTCCGAGACTTATTGAGGCAAAAATTAAAGAGGGCATATTTGTGGGTCCACAATAACGGAAAATCATGAAGGATGATATTTGACAGTGCTCTAAATGAAATTGAATCACGAACTTGGAATGCTTTTTACTGCAAATTTTTTAGGCAATGTGAAGGTGGACAATATAAAGATATTATGGGTGAACTAATTAATGCTTATAAGGGAATGGGATGTAACATGTCTCGAAAAATTCACTTTTTGGATTCTCATCTCGATTTTTTCCGGAAAATTTAGGTGCGGTAAGTGATGAACATGGTGAACGGTTCCACCTGCTATGGAAAAACGCTATCAAGGCAAATGGAGTGCCAATTTGCCTGCTGATTATTACTGGACATTGTTAATAGATACTTCAGGAGCAACATATCGCCGTAAAACATTAACACCAACATTCTGAGATTAATGTTTATTCGAGTGTTCATTAGTACTCTGAAACGCATATCCTTATATTTTAGAGTATAAGCAGCAAATAAAATGCCTTATTGCCAGAAAACCGTAGATGTTAGAAAAAATCGAATGCTATTTCCGGCCTTTTGGGTACGGTTTATATAATAACCACCTTGTTTTGTCCATGTCACAAAAAATCATTTTAATTTTGTTCACCAATGTAATTTTGGAGTTATGCAACTTTTCCTCATTTGAGTTTGATTAGTATCAGGCTGTGTGTTCTGAGCTGGGATGGGCAAAGTTTCTTGTAAATCTATCCCGGAATCTGAAGACGAATTGTCTTGCACTGGTTCGAAAGACGATGACGAAGGAGTTAAGGAAGCAACATATTTAGCTCGCCGCAACATATTTAGACGCGCCTTTTCTTCTTTTATGGCCAATTTTTGTCCACCCCAGCTAAATGACCAGGTCGACCTGGGTCTCTCTGCCTGTGCAAGAAGATCATATCTTCATTTATTTTCATCAGTTTTTGCGCAATATCAACCAGATTGTCCAAGTTCGTAACAAAATCTTTTCGACGTTGCTCAAACACTTCTTGTGTTTTGTTTGCATTTTTCTGCAAATCTCTCCAAACTTGGTATAAGGTAACTAGTTTCTTAACACAGTTAGGTAGATAATGCACTCATGAATGGTAAGTTTGGCGCTCTCATTGACACCTAATTCCACTTCCCGGATATTATAGAACGAAACTGCTAGTACTTGTCCATTAGAGGGAAGTTTTGAACCGGTAACTTGATGCTTTTAAAAATGCTATTCCGTTTTTAGAACTGCGTAATTCCTTTGACATGTTGACTGAACGAAAACAATGCGTTTACTAATAGAACAAACGACCCAGCACGGGTTGCCCTGGTTCTAGGTACATAAAACTGTATTCACAATGGTTTTGACATTGTTCAAGCAAAATTAGAGGGTATGCGTTTGAAAAAAAAGGAATTCCATTTTTTTGAGAGATCCTACTATGCAGGGTGTTTCACAACTTATCCGACAAATTTTAACCACATATGCACTGTTACGAAAGAAGTTTATTTCTCGGAAAAAAATGTAATAAAAGTCCTACAAAAATTAAGTTATAAACCTGAGTTTCAATAATAAATTGAAAACTAAATAACTGTATTTGGCGTTCATCATCGTGATATTAGAACACGCATTAATGATTTATTGTAGCAAATGTTGTACCAAACAACTGACGAAAACAAAATACCAGGATTTTTTTTTTCATATTGATAAGAACGTGTAAATAAGGTTTAATCTGTATCGTGGGTGAACTAAGTGAATAACGGTCGATTTTTGTGAAGTTAAATAAGAAAGTATTTTGCGAGTTTATGTTTTTAGCTATTTATTAATAAAAATGGCACATGTGTATACTAATGAGGAGTTAGTGGACATTGTTTTAGCGTACGGAGAAGCAGGGCGAAATTCGCGAGCGGCTTCTCGTTTGTATACACACCGATTTCCGAATAGGCACATACCACATCACGAAATATTTAGTTCAATTGTTTTACTTGGGGGGTCGAGTTCGCCCACAACGCGTTTTGAATGCCGAAGACGAAATTTTGGATATTGTGGAAGTAAATCCGGGAATAAGCACAAGGCATATTACATGAGGCCCAACTGTACCCGTATCACGTCCAGAGAGTCCAGGCGTTGCTACCTACAGACTACCCCCTAAAAGTAAGATTTTGTGAGTGGTTGTTGCAAGAAAATGCTTGAAATTCCCGTTTTACAGCTGATATTTTGGTCACCGATGAAGCTATTTTTACTCGTAAAGGGATAACCAATCTTCATAATACACACGTTTGATCCTTTGAGAATCCTCACGCAGTGGTCCAGACACACTTCCAACATCGTTTTTCTTTAAAGGTGTGGGCAGGTATTTTCGATGAACATCTAATTGGACCGTTCATATTGCCAATTCGTATGGATGGTCAACAGTATTTGGAATTTCTTCGGAATGATTTGCCGGTCCTTCTAGAAGACGTGCCACTGGCGGTCCGAGCACGGATGTGGTTTCCGCACGATGAGGCACCTCCGCATTTTCGTTTAGAAGTTCGTGATTTTTTGAATCAGGTATATCAGATACGCTGGATCGGAAGAGGTGGAAAAATTGCATGGCCTCCACGGTCTCCCGATCTAAATTCTCTGGACTTCTTTTTATGAGGATACTTGAAAAACGAGGTATACCGTACTCCAGTTCAGAATGTTGAAGAATTGCGTGACCGAATCACAGTGGCTGCCGATAATTTGAGCCTTCAGGCACAGCAGGAAGGAGGTGTATTTGAATTAGTGCGCCGAAATTGGATAAGAAGCGCCCAAGCTTGCATTGCAGTCAATGGAAACAATTTTGAACAGCTTTTATAAATAAGTGAACTGTTAAACTGTATTATTTTACTATCTCGATTTCTGTAGGACTTTTATTAGATTTTTTTTGAGAAATCAATTTCCTTCGTAACAGTGCATAAGTGGTTAAAATTTGTCGGATAAGTTGTGAAACACCCTGTATATGTATGTGGACTATGTGATATATGGATGTTGTGACAAATGTCAAGCACTGATGGTTTTCTCGACAAAAATAGCGAGAGTCGCTAATCGCATAGATGGTTGTGAGGTCCTCCCAATTAAACTAAAAACAGGGTTGAAAAATAATCCAAGCCTTATTTACCTGCACCCTTGCCTCGCTTAATCCCAGCCTCTGACTCAGCTCCTCCCTCATGAAAGCATCTGGATAATGAGTTTCGTCGAATAATCTTTCCAATTCATTTAATTGCTCCAAGGTGAAGTTTGTTCTGGACCTCCTCTGTTTTGTGGATGATTGCTTCACTGATATACAGTGTCTGCCTTTACCTGATGAAGTGTCGCTGCTCACGTCTCGGTCGTTGCTCGATGAAAGGACTGTCAAAATTACAAGAAAAGCGGTTATCAAGATAAGTGGACCGATGAAAAATTATAAGCCTCTTATTCATCCATACCAACGGATTTAGACTAGACAGATGGAGTCAGTGCACTGGGCATTTCACATGAAACAAACAGTGAAAGCAAGTGAGGTTTTCAAGTTCGTTCATATTGGGCCTGTTTGTTCATCTAGTATCTAGTAGCTGCGAAAGAGAAAACAAGATTTTTTGGTGGCGCCTTAATTTACTAAATTACGGGCTTCGCATTTAAAATTGTATTTTTTTCGAAGAATGTTTTCGAACTGAAAATATTGGAATATGAAGCATAGCGTTTCATATAGGAAGCTTTTTGTACTTATAATAATAATAATAATAATAATAATAATCCGGCTTTATTTATATAAAGTCGCACAGAGTATGACGTTAGACGCTTGTTTAGGTCGACTGGTTTGCGAAATATTGCATTAAGAGGCTACACTATGATCATTTTTCAGCTCCAATAATCAACAATTTACGTAAAAGTATAGTTTAATTGTATACGATTTTCTTAACTATTGAAATTTGTAAAGAATACGGTGCAAAACCTCTTCAAGTCATATTTAGGGTGAATTCTACCATTTTTATTATGACTTTTTTTTACTCCAAAATATAACCTAAAGTATGTATGTTTAAAATACATTAGAAGTTTTAAAATGGGATACGCATTCACTAAGGACAGATATTTTGATGTACATACATGTCACACTGAGTATGACGTTAGGCGCTTGCTTGTCGTCAGGTTCGCGAGATATTGCATTGATAATTTTTAACATTTAATAATGATTTTAAATATATTCTCATTTGGATAGAAATTGTTGATGTAATACTGTTTCACAAAAAAATTAGTTTGTATGTTTATTAAAAACTGTTACACAGCCATCTTGTGGAAAATGAAACACTTACATGCAAATTTGTCTATAGCCGATAGGGCTCCCAATATTTACAAACATATCAATTTCGTTAATCTGTTCCATTATAAGTATGGTTGTAAATCCAATGCTGAATTACATTTTCGTGCATGTTCTTATAGCTAGGGGCCTTGCGATGGTCTGGGAGGTAACCTCTCCAACAATTAGCGACTCTTACCGGCTAAATGTTTCGCGTTGGCAACTCAAAATCATGTTTGAGATAAACAACGATTTTCTACTGCTCGAAAGAAAACATCCAGCTTGAAAGAATTTTCTTGGAAAACCGATTTAATCGAGCTAGAACAATCCCAGGAACCAAGCAATTTCATGTACTCATCCCCACGACAGAAGGCGTTGTGGTTAGAAGAACTAGTACTAGCGCATGACGTAAACTTGTAAAGATTATAGAATAAAATATTCCTTTTAACATTAATGTAGTTTTACTAAATGTGCCTTTTACGCAGACTAGCCGACAAATAAGCGCCTAACCTCATACCCAGCGTGACATTTACCTGTATGTACATAAAAATACGTACCTCCTTGATTAATTCCTATGCCATTTCAAAACTTTAGGCTATATTTTGGAGTAAAAAAATCTAAAATAAGGAAATGCTAGGTTCTCCAAATTTAGGTTTGAAATGTTTACTTTCGGTTAAAAATCTTAATTTTTTTTTAATTTCAAATTTGGTTTTTTTATCAAAAAGTACAGAAAATTTCTTATATAAAACGATATGTTTTCCGTTGATCCTTACATATTATAATATATTAATTAAATTCTATTGAAAATAATGCGACAGAACATAGTCTCCGGTTGAATACTTCTAAAAAACCCAAAGTTATTATTTTTTCTCCTAAAAATGTAAGTTATGTAACTAAAAATTGTTCTACTATTTTACGGCATCTGTACTTAGATAAAGAAATACTTGATTTTAGATCCAAAAGAATTTTATGTGAATCTTTAATAATATCAAAAATCGCATATTGTGATTTAGTATACTATCCAGTTCTAGATTCAGTTTCAGCTTCTACAAAAAATTCAAAATTGATGTTGATTTTCACATTAAGAAAATATGATCATATTAGTTCATGTTTCGAACAGCTGAACTGGTTGAATGGTGCAAAATTGTATAAGCTTCATTTATTATGCTATGTTCACAAACTCCTACATACTTCGATTCCTTCATTTTTGAAAAATAAATTAATATCTCGTGAATATATCCATTCAAGAAACATTCGATTCTTCACAAACCTTCTTTATTTCATAAATGCTTTACCTATAATGCCATCAATCTATATAATGCATTACCATAGACTGCTAGACATCTTGATATCAATAATTTCAAAAAGCAAATTAAATAAATTATCTTTGATGCTCAAATCTGAAACCTCCTGTATATAGTTCAGCCATATTTTTGCATATTATATAAATCGCTTATGGTTTTTTCTTTCTTTTTGAACACTCATGTGTACGTTGTATTCAATATGTAATTTTTGTTTAAATTTTGGAAGAATATTATGTTAAAATTGTTATCAATATTCTAGTGCTAGTTATTTTCAAGGGTTAAGTGGTAGAATAGCTTGTAGCAAAACTTCGCCTGAATAAAAGTCATTTATCATTATTACCTTTCCATTCGAATAAATCCCAATTTCAACCACAACTTGAATCAATAATTTCAAAAAGCAAATTGAATAAATTATCTTTGATGCTCAAATCTGAAACCTCCTGTATACAGTTCAGCCATATTTTTGCATATTATATAAATCGTTTATGGTTTTTTCTTTCTTTTTGAACACTCATTTGTACGTCGTATTCAATATGTAATTTTTGTTTAAATTTTGGAAGAATATTATGATAAAATTGTTTTCAATATTCTAGTGCTAGTTATTTTCAAGGGTTAAGTGGTAGAATAGCTTGTAGCTAAACTTCGCCTGAATAAAAGTCATTTATCATTATTACCTTTCCATTCGAATAAAACCCAATTTCAACCACAACTTAAATTTTCAAATTCGGCAAAAATGAACATGCCACCGAGAAAAATCGTGCTTTCTCTTTCACACCTACCAGATGTACAAGCTGGCCCAATATGAACAAATATTAAAACCTCGCTTTTTTGCCCCATAAGTCAATGTTTTGAAAGTTTTGTCATTGAATCTGTAGTTCTTCAAAAAAGCGATAATTGTGGTGTTAGACGGTTTCAAGATGTACTACTTCTTACATGATTTGAAAAGAGCAGCACAAGTCTAATGGAGGTCGATGTTTCCACCAGTAAGTATTATAATGTTGATACAATGCAGTTACTTTGGTACGCATTGGTAGACAAATGAGTCAAAAAAATTAAAACTACGCAATTTTGGTGAGAAACAATGCAATGTAAATATAAAAGCTTCACTCTTTCTAATCTATTCGAATCCGTTGATCCTTACATATTATAATCACAAACATTTCCGTTATAACCATTTAAAACGGGCTCTATAAGAGGGGTTTTCAGCCCTGAAAATTAGTTAAATTCCAAATGGATCGCATATATGAGATTTTTAAATTTAAGTATTTTAAAACATGTATTTTTAAATTTCATAAATAATTGTTTTTTATTTTACTTCTTGATTATGCTTTAAAAGCACAAATTTCTCAAGTTTGCATTTTCGTCCAAAATTATCAAATTGAATACTTAGCTCATTATTTTTATATAAGCGCTTTGAGATTTAATTGAATATGGCCATAGACAATCTCAAGTTTAAAAATAAATAAGATAAAAAAATACGTGTTTAAAAAAAGATTTTATTTAGCTGATAACAAAATGAACTAAACATTTGAAAGTAACTTTTCCAATTGAAGATATTTAACAATAATGGAAGCTCCTTCATCTCAAGTTTCCAAATAAAAGCCTGTTTTGACAGCAGGGTGGAACAAGAATGATACACGTTTTAATTTGAATAATTGAGATGAAAGAGCTTTGAATATTTCCAATCAAGAAACAAGTTTTTAAAATTTTGGTTTGTTTCCACTTCCTGTGCCAAAACTGGCGAGGAATTATTGCAATCGCAGAAAATTTCGAAATTGAGACATGTTTATTGGATGTTATATGACATGTACATTACGAACAACCATGCCATTCATTTCCGTCAGTCTTTCTGTCTGTCGGTCTGCCCGCTAATCTTATAACCGCGTAAAACTTGAGAAGTACCGCTCGGATTTTGATAAAATTTTCACACAAGGTTACTGGTCTGCCAAGGATGGCAGGAGAAATATTTATATATTTCAGCAATTTTTGAATATTAGGAGTACGTACTACTTTAGCGTTCTGCGGTGCTTTTGTAAATGATGACTTTACTGTTTTTACATCTACACATATATTTTCTGAATTGTATGATCCTTAAATGTAGCACCCGTTTCGCCTAACCTTTGGTTTCTGTTACTCCATCTCTGAATATTTCGTCAAGTAGATTGACTCAGTATTTACGGCACATTGATAGACAACAGACATGGACTGACATAAATGATAAAGGCGTGCCTATGTGATGCTGATATCTTTAACCAACAGAAAACTTATGAACCGAATATTTTCGCGAGTTTAATACTTCAAAGGCGGCGGAAATAAAATCGTTGGAAGACGCTGTTGCAAAATTTCAGAGATTCCTTCTCATTTTCAGACATTTTTTGGAGGGGATGAAAATTCTATTTTGCAAGCTGTATGAGGTGAATGGTTGTAAATTGTCGCATATTTGATGTCTGCGAAAGACCTTCTCTTATTAAAAAGCTGCTGCTTTCAGTGATAATATTCCCTGTTAGACACTGCCATGGAAACAGAAATATGATAGATTTGCTTTATACAGTTTCATATGCAGATGGTCGATGGTTCATCGTAGTTAAGTGA